TGTCCTTATAATGCATTCTGGCTCCAATGAAAACTGAGACAAGATCTCCAGCGCCGACCTAACTGAACAAACTAAACTGGAACAAGCTAAATAATGTCCATGTTCTCTTTGGTCTAATCCCATTATCTGGTTTTAATGCATTAATATAGAAAACACAATGTCTTACACAATGCCACAGACTTTAAACACTGGCCTAATTTGTTACAACTGGAAACAGCAATTCTAAATTGGGATTGCTTTTTGTGTGTTATCATGTGCTTTCTCTTTGTATTGTTTCCAGCTGCTGGGAGAAAGCATGAAATGAATTTTGGCTTTCCAAGACGTGAGACGAAGGTATAGGACCAGCAGCAAAGTGTTTCCTAGATTTCACTGCAGTGCTGCTGTAGCCTTTGCCAAGCTGGAACAAAAGGTCAAAAGCAAAAGGCCATTTCATTTTCAAAATGAAGAAGTGTCAAAACAAGGAGGGTAGGGAAGGATATCAGATGACTAATTAGGCAACAAAAGTCACAGGCTTTGTACAAAGCCAGACAAATGCTTAACAGTATTGATGCAGTTGTCTTGTGAAATTTTCCATCCTGCAATACTAAAATCAATCCAAAAAAGTGACATTACACATGCATCCTACTGCAATGGGTGCACAGATCTGGACCTTCAGGAAAAAGCTGCTCTCAAAAATATGCTTCTTGACAGATAATACCTGCAACAAAAAATTATCTAAAATGGATGAAAGTTCAGTTAATCTGTCAGTAAAGCCCATGCACACATGGAGGAAACAGCGGCAACCATGTAAACTGATTTCAGAGGACTGCAGGTGATGCTCCTGGTGCTGTCACCTGTGCTAACACTCCTAAATGTGACATAATGTCACTTCTGACACTTCTTCCTGAGACTTTAATCCTGCATTTGCAGCTATTTTTATCTTCCCAGCCCTTTGCAACCTAAGCCACAAAAGAGGTGAAGAAAGAGACAGTTAAAGGGGGAGATAACAGAAAATGTTTCCTCCTCACACGCAGTAATTTTAGATTCCTCATCTGCCTATGGATAAAGCAAGCTAAAGGAACCAATAATTCCTGAAACAACACATACATGTTCCAAAACTGCTTGATTTTAGGTATCTGAAGAAAGTCAAGATTATTAGTAGTTTCTTTAGGTAAACTAATATATCATGGAATCATAGAATATCCTGAGTTGGAAGGGACCCACAAAAATTATCAAGTCCAACTCCTGGCTCTGTGCAAGACACCCCAAGAATCCCACCATGCGCCTGAGAGCATTGTCCAAACGCTTCGTGAGCTCTGTCAGGCCTGGTGCTGTGACCACTTCCCTGGGGAGCCTGTTCCAGTGCCCAGCCACCCTCTGGGTCAAGAACGTCTTTCGACTATCCAACCTAAACCAGCCCTGACACAACGTCAGGCCATTCCCTCGGGTCCTGTCACTGGTCACCACAGAGAAGAGATCAGTGCCTGACCCTCCTCTTCCCCTTGTGAGGAAGTTGTGGAGTGTGATGAAGTCTGCCCTCAGTCTCCTCCAGGCTTAACAAGCCAAGTGATCTCAGCCGCTCCTTGCATGACTTCCCATGGAACATAAGCAGAAACTTAAAATGACAACCAGAAAAGTAGGAGTGTTTTGGCTGCTGTTTTTCACACAAAGTTTTAACAAGGAACAAAAAGTTGTTCCCTTCTGCAATCAGCTAAAGAGTAACTGTAAATCTTTCTGATAAGGTAAAAAGAAAAAAAGACACCGAAAGGATTTTCTTGCATTAACAGAAAAAACCATCAAGCACTTTTTATAAGCAGAATGAAATAAGGAGCTATGAAGTTACTGCTGTGGTCAGCGAGATTCTCCTCTCTGCAGAGGCTTTACACCAGAGAAGGAACAATAAATGCTGTCCAAGAGAAGAAGGAACATCCTTCCAGCATGACAGAATTGCTGTCACTTTCCAACGTGACAAGCCAGAGGTGGTCCCCTAGAAAAAGTCAGCAGAGGCTGGCTCCAAACATGAGGTTTTCACTATAAATTTGCTTTTCAAACATGTATTGAACCTCCTAGGAGGAATACAGCTATTCATGAATGGCGACAATGCATTTTTTGTTTTGTTTGGGCTTTGTTTGCTTTTTTAAAAAGAACCCCACCTCGTGTTGCCAGTTGGTTGCATATTTTCATTATCTGATGTACTGCTTACTTTCAAACTTGGATGTACATAATGAGGCAAAACCAGACGTGTGGCAGCATAGAATTAAAACACTAAAAGGAAGATAACAGAGTGGAGGAGAAAGAGAACATGATTTGGGGAAAGATGGAAATAAAAAGAAAAAAATGGAAGTAGCACAAAAGGTTTATATTACCAAAAAAAATTGAGTGGAACAGGAACAAAATAGCTAGAAAACTGTTGAGATGAACTCCTAACTAGGAAGAAAAAAATCAAGCAATAACAGTTTTTAATCACTGCAGTAAAGAAAATTAATACATGGTTTAATGACTGCTGAGAAAATATTTTGACACCTAGCTCAATTTCATTAATATGAAATAGACAGAATGTCGCTTTTCCAGTCTAAAGAATGCAAGCACTTTTTTAATTACCCTCCAAAATATTTTTGAGGTGGACCATCTCTGGCATCCTTCCTTAACATTCAGTGTTTCTGATCTTCATATGTAAAAATAAATACAAAATTACCTCTTTGAGTTATTAAATACAATTCCATAGTTTAAGGACATTGCATTCAGTCTCTTTCAGTCAATCTGTTATATTCAGCATCTTTTGGTCTATGAACTCTGTGGCCTAACACATTCTTCTCTCGGCTCCTCTTCTCTCACAGGATGATGCCAAAGCAGCACTCTTGTTGCACTGCAGCAGTTCCAAAGCTGTTCACAGAGTTTAAGAGCGCTCTTGCAGCTCTGAAGGAATGGTGACCAAGCCAATCTAAATTGCAGTTTGGACAAAAAGTTCAGTATGGTTGAGGGGGCCTCCCTGAAAGCTAAAGGGACTGACAGTCTGCACCACTGAGGTGCAATTCAAAACATTTAGCTTCCATGTCCTCTGTTAATGAAAAGAACCCCAAAAGCTGTATGCTGGAAGAAAACAATTGTTTATTCTTCAGCAAATGATGCAAGCCAGTATGACAAACAAAAATAAAATATCCAAGCCTGATATCTGGCAGCACAGCAGCACAACTTGCAACTTGCACACAGAGTGGATTAGATGCAAGTGCAGTCAAATGCAAAAATCAAGCTCTAATGACACGACTTTGCTGATAGCTGGCATTTTTTCCTAGCACTCCATAGCCCAGGATACTTTTGGCTAAAATTCTGAAGGTGTTTTAAGCTGGGGCTGGCTTATAGTATTGGGAAGCTTCTCTGAGATGGGTGGGACGGGACAGAAAGGAGAGAGGAGAGAGAGAAGAAGCGAAAGGAGAGAAGAGAGCCCAGTTCTGTGTAGTCAGGAGGCTAAGGGAACATGGGTCATGCAGATGTCTACAGTCCTTTTCTGCAGTTCTCCCCTCTCACAAATTCCACGCTCATTTTCCCAAAATCAGTATCATTTGCTAGGAAAAGTCTTAAAGCAAAATATTTTAAAATAGATTGCAAAATATTATTTTGAAATCCAGAGATATTTAAAACCTGTCCTCTTCAGAGAGGACGAGGAGATTCAGGAACTGAAGAGATGAAAGACTGCTTCGCTACTTCAGGAATAAAAAACACACCAGGAAGCAACAGCACCTGTTTACATACCCAGAGGATGGAAGCCAGCCTGTAACTACCAAGTAACTACCTCTGCCCCATCCCAATTTCACAATTCCGCCAAAAGTTAAACATTTCACTTATTCAGTTTAAAAAACCCCCAAACAACAAAAGAGCCGAAAGAAGAAGAAACGACATCCCCAGCCCGCCTACTCTACACTTCTCCCCTTGGGTGAGCTCCAGCAAATACCCTCAGCAGATTCCAAGGTGTCCGTACTTCCAGCAAGCCCGTCTTAACTTTCCTTCGGGAAATCGCCGCTTTGCTGTAACAGGGCGACACTGACCTTACAGACGCGCATGAAACCGGGCGCAGGAGCGAGCAAGGGCTTGCAGCACACACCCGTGGCACAGCCCGTCCCGGCCGCGCCGCAGGAGCCACCTGGAGGCTGCCGCGCCCGTGGGGCAGCGGGACACCCCGCACATCCACACGCGCGGGGCCGGGGGGCTCGCTCGGCCTCGGGCGTGGGGAAGAGCGGCCGTATCCCCCCCGCCATCCCCCGGAGAGAGCTGGGGGCGATCCCACCCACCGCGCCGCCCCGGCTCCCTTCCCGCCCCAGGCTCACCGGGTCCGGCGCCCAGGAGAGCTGCGCCAGGACGAGCAGCGCGGCGGGCACCAGCAGCGCCCGGCCCCAGCCCGCCATCCTCCTTCCTGCCTGCCCGGCCCGGTTCCCTGAGCGCTTCCCGGAGCCGCAGCCACATGACACCGCCCCGCCCGGCAGGGACGGGGCCCGCCCCTCCATCTGCGACAGCCGCGGCGCCGCCGCTCGGCCACGGGAGGGGAGCTCCGCACGGGGAAACACCAAGTGAAATCGCCTCTCCTCGGAAACACTTAAGAGCAAACCGGTGGCACCAGTTTTCACTTCGCTGGGATTTTTAATTAACTCTGTGTCCTTGGGAAGATTTCAGGCAGGCTTCGTGGTAAAGGAGATGCCAGGCGTGCACTTTCTTTAGGAAGACTTTTCTTGTATCTTGCTGCTTAGGAGTGAAGGAAACAGGCAACGGGGCAGACTAATGAGAAATACAGGGCATGAGATGAATCCAGCCATAAGCACCTTGCCTGTTATTTGTTCATTACTATACATAAATGGTATCTATTTCATAGAATCATAGAATGGTTTGGGTTGGAAGGAACCCTAAAGATCATCTAGTTCCAACCTCCCTGTCTTGGGCAAGGACACGACCCATTAGATCAGGTTATTGTAATATTTGTTGTAATATCAAGTACAAGTCAGCAGCCAAATAAAATGCATACTCCAAGTAACTTACAATAAAAGGTATCATTTTAGTGGGAGCAAATAAACATTTAATGACTGTATACATTAGCAACAGCTGTGGGAAGCACTATGACAAAATACTCAAAACCTTCCAGGCTGCCTGTGTTTTAGCTTGTGTCATGTGCTTTACGTAGTGACCAAGATGTGTCATGTGTTCTTAGGCACACAGAAAAAACTGATATAGTCTTTAATGACTTAATTGCCTGTGCAATTAACTGTCTTACAAAACAAACCGGGGGTGGCAGGAAAAAGAAGTCCTTGGCAGAAGGTTTGACTGGAAAGCTGCAAGGAACTGCAGAAATTAAGAAACAGGAAAGGATAAAAGGAATGTATTGTAATGTGGGAAAGCCTTTGGGTCAAGGGAGGGAATGCAAGTGTGTAGGAAGGAGCCAGCTCAGAGCATAAGCTGGGAAATTGCACAGAGCTTTGGGTAGAAAAGCATTACGCACTGCTGAAAGAAGATAGAGAACCAATCTATGGATTTAAAAATAAGGAAAATTACAGCATAACAGGATAAACCTTGAGATTTTCATGGGTGTGTTCTTTCAAAAATAGGAAATCAGGCAGTTTTTATAGGATCTGGAAAATATTTTCAGTTGAAAACAAATACATATAAGACAAAAATCCTGTATTTTCTTGCAGATATCTGAAGATACTATTATGGACTATAGTAAAGAGTGATTAAGTTGGTCTTGTTATATTCTAAACATCTGCAGCCCCATTTGCTCATCTTTTATTTCTGGAGTAGACAGCTTTTAGGGACTTTACTATCTTTGTCTAGATGTTTTATCATCTTCAGTACATTTTTTTCGCAGTACAAAATTAATTATGACTTTGGAAAATGAAAAACTCTTTCCAAATCCTCTGAAGACAAAAGAATACCATTGTCACATTACACATTCACAGCATACACATTCAAAGCCTCTTTGTGCTTCTGCTTTAGTTCTTCCACTAGTAAAGAAACTCTCAGTTTAAGGAATAGTTAACATCTTCCAGTACCCATGTTTCTCTGCCTGTGGCTGTTCTGCTCCATTCCTATCAGAATGTCTTCTCTCTTGAGGCCCCTCCAATACTTTGGACCCTCCATTTTGTTGTCTAGGTTTCTTCTGGCTGCCTTCAAAAGTCTGAGTTAAGTCAGAAGAAAAAAGCTTCTTAAGATGTGCAGTTAACTCGCTAACTGTACTAAGACAGCTGGTGTCACTCATACCTAGAACTTATGTCCACCCTTCTGCTTTCTCATACCTCTCCAGATCTCTTCCTTCCTCCAGAAGCAGAGGCTGTACAAATTACTTCCCTTTTCTGTTTTAGTTAAAGCTCCTTGTGCTAACAGTACTGCCAGGACACATCTCCAAGATGACTCCATGAATATCTCCAATGGGAAAAGATCCCAATGGCCTCCTTATAGCATCAGTTAAATACACATACGAATCTTCATTGTTCTGTCATACCTTTGATTTAATTTTTCTGGGATCAGACTTCCAGTGAATTCCCCAGATGACTGTTTCTGTGTATCTCGGAACATGTTTTAGCTTGAATCTAGTATACATTAGTTCCAAAACAGAAGGCAACCCCACTGCTACTATAATATCCTTATTCCCTGTAAGGCTGTTAGTCCCTTGCCAATTCTAGTACTTCCTCCTCTACTTAGGGCAGCCTCATTTCATTTGCTCTGCCATTTCTTTTTGCTTCACTTATTCCTAGCCCTGTAACCAAGATACCTCTCAGTTCTGTTTTTCCTTTACTAGCACTTACAGCACCTGCCCCCTGCATCTCCTATTTACACTGAAATGAAATGGAAAGTTCCCTTACAGGGGTAATTCTCAGGCTCTTATTCAGCTGCTGAGTACTCCTTTCAGCACTCTTCTCACCAGCACAGAGCAGATTTCTGCTTCCAGATGTATCCATATTTGAAGTAATCATCTTTGTAAGTTCCACCAGACAAGTTTTTATTCAAAGAGTAGATTCTTGAAAGAAAAACAGATGCTGTAATATCAATCTACTTCAACCATCAACATTCACTTCAGATGTATTTAAGATTCACAGTGATTGTGGATCACTCACACCTGCAATGAACTGTCCAATAAACAGTCACTCTGGCCTGCAGCCTGTTCCTTGCAGTGCTGCCTCCTGCTCAGTGTTTCTGGGAGTAGTTTTGGCACTAGGCAACTTCCAGGTCCGCGATGTTGTAATGGTTGTTATGTCAGGTTACCTACGTATCTGGGGAGGGACATGTAGCGTGGTACCTACAACAAGATCTAGTCAATGAGCCCTAATCCTCAGTCCTAAGCCAAACTAAGAAGCTCTGGAGAAATTTTTTTTTTTTTTTTTTTTTTAATCTGATAGGACAGCTCACAGCTATGCTGCATTTTCATCCAAAAAATTCCTCAGACTGGCCAGGAACATTTGCCAACAATCATCTATTTATTTCTAGCTTTTAGCCTTCTCCCCATAAATTCTGTACTCACACCTCTGTCAGACCTGAGCATGTGCAGTGTGTCTTTTCCAACAATACCTTTACTCACTGCGGAAAAGACAACATAGCCCTCTTCTTTACATTAAGTCACAGAGCATATGGACACACGCAGCCATTGAAAAGCCCCTAAGCTACATATACAATCAGTTCATGTACCTGACCCTTTCTGCTATTGATAAAAAGCTATGCCTACATGGCTCACCCAGTAACAGGGTGTTGATTTTTATTTGAGGGCAATCAAGTTACATACAGAGTTCCCGGTAAAAACCAACTATTCTCCCTCAAGATCACTAAAAGCCAGGGAGCTTTCTCTCTGGACTAAATCAGTGTACAGTCTGTCTCCCAGGGCTTGAGGTATATGGCAAACAGCTTGCCATTTTTGTTGAATTTCTTGAATTTTTCTTCCCTTAATACAAGTCAAATATGCACAAGTGATACAGTTAATAAGATTTTATAACTGAGTTATCAATATGTGAGAAAATTTTAATATAATTCTGAAGATACTTAAGAAATGCCTTAAATAAAAAAAAATTATAAAATATTTTACTCTTGTTTTCAATTTGACCCTGTCAAAGATGCAGAAGAAAATGGACCAGCTGGATGTCACTTGCAGTATCTGTCCGCTTTCACTTTTGCTCTCCTATATGAAAAGAGTGAATGAAAGAAGAGTTAGATTAAGACCAAATACAATTACACCTGGGTGTTTTAGCTGTCTCAAAACATTAATAGTAGTCCAGGATTGTTCTCGCAATACTCCAATTATCAGAAATAGTTTTTTGCATTCCACCCACTGAATTAATGCAAATATTTATACCATATAATGGTACGAAAGGCTTTAAAAATTCAAGAGTTTCTAAAGCCTTGGTTCAGAGAGAAAAAAATAAATATTCCCACTAGATAACACAAAGATAGTCTCAATAAATGCTATTTCTCTTTAAAATGCAACTTCTGTCTCTCCAAAATGTTCTGGGGCCATAGGTATTGAAAAATGTTAAAAAGTAGCTTAATTTTTAGGATTAAAAAGATTAATCGCTCAACAATTCTGCAGTAAACACACTGAACCACCTAAATCAATTTACAGGTAAATCCAAACCTGCTAACTTCAGCTAAAGAAGGGAAAATTCAGATTAGAAAAAAAAAAACTAAAAAAAAAAGGCAATGCCAGAACTCAGGCACAACACTCACCAGAGAAGAATTCCAGGCTCAACAACCCGCCTGGAATCTAGCCCTCTTTTGTACCCCAGGTTTATTGTAATTCCATCTCCCAGTAGATTTTTTTTAATCAGTACATTATTTCTGGTATTTCGAAGTACCTGTCAAGCAGCATTTCATGAAAAGTGCCTTCTTTCCTGGCTTTTCTTAGAGCTTTTGTGTCTTCTTTGCTTATTTTAAGTTTTTTGTCTTGAAAACTTTGGAATTTCTTACTGTAAGGGGGAGAAAACAAATAAAAAGGGAAATGTCTTTAAAATTTTGTGTTTCAATAAAACAACAGTGATAAGAGTCTTAGTTTCTATTATGCAGCTGACAACTGGTCTAATAAAATCCAGCAAATCATCCCAGTACTACAGTTGCACTAAGGCTTCTGTAGGTGAAAACTAATTTGTCTCCCAGGGCTTGAGGTATATGGCAAACAGCTTGCCATTTTGTTGAATTTCTTGAATTTTTCTTCCCTTAATACAAGTCAAATATGCACAAGTGATACAGTTAATAAGATTTTATAACTGAGTTATCAATATGTGAGAAAATTTTAATATAATTCTGAAGATACTTAAGAAATGCCTTAAATAAAAAAAAAAATTATAAAATATTTTACTCTTGTTTTCAATTTGACCCTGTCAAAGATGCAGAAGAAAATGGACCAGCTGGATGTCACTTGCAGTATCTGTCCGCTTTCACTTTTGCTCTCCTATATGAAAAGAGTGAATGAAAGAAGATTTAGATTAAGACCAAATACAATTACACCTGGGTGTTTTAGCTGTCTCAAAACATTAATAGTAGCCCAGGATTGTTCTCGCACCACTCCAATTATCAGAAATAGTTTTTTGCATTCCACCCACTGAATTAATGCAAATATTTATACCATATAATGGTACAAAAGGCTTTAAAAATTCAAGAGTTTCTAAAGCCTCGGTTCAGAGAGAAAAAAAATAAATATTCCCACTAGATAACACAAAGATAGTCTCAATAAATGCTATTTCTCTTTAAAATGCAACTTCTGTCTCTCCAAAATGTTCTGGGGCCATAGGTATTGAAAAATGTTAAAAAGTAGCTTAATTTTTAGGATTAAAAAGATTAATCGCTCAACAATTCTGCAATAAACACACTGAACCATCTGAATCAATTTACAGGTAAATCCAAACCTGCTAACTTCAGCTAAAGAAGGGAAAATTCAGATTAGGAAAAAAAAAAAAAAAAAAAAAAAGGCAATGCCAGAACTCAGGCACAACACTCACCAGAGAAGAATTCCAGGCTCAACAACCCGCCTGGAATCTAGCCCTCTTTTGTACCCCAGGTTTATTGTAATTCCATCTCCCAGTAGTTTTTTTTAATCAGTACATTATTTCTGGTATTTCGAAGTACCTGTCAAGCAGCATTTCATGAAAAGTGCCTTCTTTCCTGGCTTTTCTTAGAGCTTTTGTGTCTTCTTTGCTTATTTTAAGTTTTTTGTCTTGAAAACTTTGGAATTTCTTTCTGTAAGGGGGAGAAAACAAATAAAAAGGGAAATGTCTTTAAAATTTTGTGTTTCAATAAAACAACAGTGATAGGAGTCTTAGTTTCTATTATGCAGCTGACAACTAGTCTAATAAAATCCAGCAAATCATCCCAGTACTACAGTTGCACTAAGGCTTCTGTAGGTGAAAACTAATTTTTTTTTTTTTTTTTTGGCAGTCTAAATAGGAATGAGCCCCTACGTGGTCATGAATTCTAAAGAGCCCCTTCTTCAACTACTAGCATAAGAAATCAGGGAACAAAAGTGTATTGGATGTAGGTTGCAAGGTGCTGACAGTGGGGGATCTGCAGGGAGTTTTCCCTGTGAGAAAAGGCCAGGAGCTGCCCTGTGCTGTACAGAGCTGGCTCTACAACACACCCACTAGAGGACACAGCCAAGTCCCATCAGCAAAGCTAATGGCACCTCTATGAAAACGTATTTAAGAAAGGGCAAAATGACACACAGGCAGAGGAAACAGAAAAAAATAAACAAACCAGAAGTGCAAAATGGCAGTGTAAACATCTGTCCCAGTTTAAATGAGACAAGGGTCTTTTGCTGAGGATGAATTAGGAGGAAAAGACCCAAACTTCTCTTTCCAAACAATTATAAATCCAAAATTAAGAGGCTCCAATTGAAGGAAAACAAATTATGGAAAAGGGAAAATAACAGCCCTTTATTAAAAGGTATGTGTGTATTAACAGGAACACGAAAAAAAAACTCAAGTAAAATAACTAAGTAATACTCCTATACCCACCAATAATCCCCTTCAAGAACAAAACTGATAAACCGGCAAAAAAAGAAATAGTTCAATTTCTTGCACCCTTTGGTGCTGTTCCAACCACAGTCAGCAGGGGGCGCCGTCGGGTCACTGGAGATGCAAAATTTGTAATGTCCTGTACCATTCACCAGGTGGCGCTGTTGGGTCACTGAAGGTGTAAAAAACTTGTAGTGTCCTATTATAGTCACCAGGTGGCGCTGTTGGATCACTGAAGGAGTTGAACTTGTAATGTCCAGTGCCCGTCACCAGGTGGCGCTGTTGGATCCTTGGCTGCCACCGGGGGAGGGGAGGGGGAACAACAGCAATAAAACAGAAAGTTCTCCCAATGGAAGAAAACTCACAAACTTCAGCTGATTAGGGTCCGTTGTAAGCAGAGCTTGTAGTCAGCCAGAGGTGAGCCAAGAGCAGCCGCCAGAAACTCCCCTCCGACAGGAAAAGAAACAAAGGAGCCCGGCAGTGTCTGCAGCCCGCAGCAGCCTCTCACCCCGGCAGTGCGAGAGAGAGAGTCTCCTCCCCCCCCAGCCTCCACCCCCTTCCAGTCACACACCAGCCAACTCCCCCCTTCGTTGTCAAGGAGACAAATCTCCATCGTTAAGGGCTCCGGGTGATTCTTTTGTTCAACTAAAATGGCCCATCACAGAGCACACACACGGGCAGGAGGAAAGGAAAGAAAAATTCTTTGCTAAAAATACGAACTATGACAACATCAAGGACAGAGAAGAAGAGGGAGGAGATGCTTCAGGCACTGGAGCAAATATCTTTCAGTCCATGGATAAGACCGTGACAGAACAGGGGAAAAGTGGAAAAGGAAAGGAAGTGGCTGAAAGAAACCACTGTGTATTGACCCATATCCCATCCTGCTTTGGGGAACAAGTAGAGGAATCTGGAGTGAGGGGGATCTTGGGAGATGGGGAAGGAAAGGTGGTATTTTTAAATTTTGTCTTTTTTAGTATCTGAATCCATTTAGCAGGCAACAAATTTAAGTAATTTTTCAGTGTTGAGTCTGTTGCCTGTGACAGCATCTGCTACATGATCTCCCTGTCTTAATCTCAACCCATGAGCTTTCTCCTATTTTCTTCCCTTGTCCTGCTGAGGGAAAAGCAAGTGAAAGGCTGGGTGGGAGTTTGGCCCTTTCACCAAAGATGGCCCCAAAGAGAAGTGAAAAAAGGTACTTGAGCCTATTACCAGCTCAAAAGTACGTACACATAATTGATTTCACACTGTTTAACGTTTCCTTTGTCTTCTTGTGGAACTTCATCTTTCTTCTTAGCTTCTCTTTCAGCACAAGTACGAATCTAGTAATTGAGAAAAAAAAACAAAACAAAAAACACCTATATTTTTAAAATCGTAAGCTACAGGTTAAAGATGACAACACATCCTTCATGACAGAATGAGAGTCACAGTGACTTTTCAAATTCACAGCTTTCTAACCGGTTAACTAGACTCTACTGCAATCAAAGCAAGAGCTGCCCAAAATATGGGGAATATTAAGAGTAATCCTTTATACTACTGTAAGACATAATTGCCTGCATCTCAAAGGAGCACCATTACAGTTCTTAGTTTTGGCAGAGGCAATTGAGAGACAGATGTAAAGATATTATTGCTCTGACTAGTAGACACCTGTCTCTATGTGGAGAGACACATATATTTTCCATGTTTAAATAAAATCAAGATAGTCTTTCTAGATTCTCCTAAAAGATCTCCCCTTCTGGTAAACTCTTCTCTGTCCCTGATTCAGTCATAATTCATCTCTTCCATGCCAAGCTAATTACAACTACCTGGAATAGGTAGTCAGTCATAGACTGTCTTGCCCTTTAACATCTTGCCCTTCTGGAGTGGTAAAATATCTTTCTATCTCTACTGGAAGTACTTAGAATTTATGCAGCCTTGGTGCTCGTTTACCTTTCTTGTGGCCAAATCACTTGACAACTTACAGAAAGCAATTATAACTGTATTAACAGTAGTAAATTGTAGCACACAGACACCTGTTTGTTTGACTGTCCCTCCCAAACCTGTATTAATTGTAGAAGTTAAGAGATTACCTTTATCATTTCTTCTTCCCCTGCAGTTTTGCTTTTGGCTTCTATATCTCCCTCTTCGTTACATCTAATAAAACGGCTGTTTGCTGCTAGTAACGCCATTTTCTTCTGCAGAAATAACATCCCACGTTGTTAGAATAATGAGATTGCATATAATCCTTGATTCATAACATTTATCCTGTACAATGCATCAAAAGTCTCTGTAAATGTGTTTTATTCTTTTATGCATGGGTACTTCAATAGCTAGCCAGCAGACTTGCTGGCTCCTCCATTCTTAAAGTGCTTATAGCTGCCAAAATGCAGTAACGTGAAATATTTTAAGAACTTCCCATTATAGCAAATGCACTGCAGTTGGGAAAACATAATATTAAAAACTACAATATGAAAGACACTGCAAAGTAGTTTTACTTCACAGACAAAAAATATCAACATAGATTAACTCAAAATACAGTCAAACATTAAGAACTTTTCCAAATAGCTTACATCTTGGAAGACAGGTTCCCACTGCTCTCTTGATCCTATTGCATCAGAACGTCCAACAACGAGTCCATCTGAATTTATACCAAGATATTTGCCATAACCAGATTTCAGAGCAATCCTCCAAAAGAAGATGCAGGAAAAAATATAGAATGTTTTTAATTTATGCAATTCCCAACATCCAAGATATCACAAACACATTTATTATTAGATGATGTATTTAAAGAGAGTATTAAAACATGTACTCACACAAAAAACCAAAGATAAGTATTAAAACTTGAAACATTGTTAAAGGAATTACCTTGTATCAGACAACTTTACTGCTGTAAACTGCTCAGGAGGACTAGGGCCTTCATCATCTGAGGAATGAATTTTCCATTAGTTAAGTATGAAGTATTAAACATAAAATATTTTAGCCTATTAATACTGCAGTTTCAAAAAGAATTAAACATTGACCATTGCTAAACACTATGGAAAGTATTTATTTCTTTAAAAATTCTTTTTTTGAGTATTCACAGTTAAAAGAGCAATGCAGGTGTTCATTTATGTTCATAAATTTAGAGTGCTTAAAACAAGACACAAAATTAAGATGATCCTTGCATAAATAAATTTGCAGTTGAGAACGTTTTGTAATTCTCCTGGTATCTTTGAAAACCTTAACCTCCTTGTAATGTGACTTTTTTCTTAACAAAATGCATTATGCTTCAAGCTACTGTAACTCAGCTCAGTATCCTAAAAGCTACTAGCCTTTCCATCCCTCAAAAACAAAATGAGAGAATATTGCCATCATTGGTTTGCTCTCATCCTGGAGGTGAAACGTACACACTGTCACGGTTCTGGAACAGTCCGTGCCTGAGTGACGGCTCTCAAATTCAAAGAACAAGCTAATTATCCCAGCACATTAGTAGCCCTCTTGTGCAGTAACAAAACAAACAATAAGCCTGAAAACTCATTTACCTTGAATTTCACTCTTCAAATGACACCATAAAGATTTTATAGGATTTAATAAAAATTATACTGCTTGTTATCCAGCAAGTGGTATGGCCTTTAACAGGTAATCATCTCCAATGCACTTCAATTTATTGTACACATAAACCATCAAGAAACCAGATGAGTGAAACTGATTGGTAGCCATTTGGTTTAAGTCATCTGCATACTTCATCTACAACTATTGCATTTGTAGTAAACTGTTTTAGCTGCAAAACTGCTTGCCTTTAAGCGATGCTAGTTTTATGCTGTCAGGCATTTCATTGTTCAAACTACTTATTGTCAAATTTTTGGGAACAAACCTTTATGTGGTGCTCCAAGTGTAAACAAGCCATTGTCGAGGGCATGGATGTAAGCTCCTTTATCCATTTCTATAGCTATAGTTCCTGTAATTTCACCAAAATTACTGACAGCCCACCAATTTCCTGTAATACAAAACCATGACAGTTTATTAACAAAGTAATCCCAACTTCCGATTACAGCAGTTCAAGAGATGATATCTGTGTGTCTCCTCCGAAGAATTTGAAATTCTAAAGATAAAATTTCTCCAGCAAAACAGAAGCAGATACACTATTTCATCTGACTTTTAAATTACTTCTTGTGAGCTGTAATCCCAAGACTTCAGTTGTTCAAGCCAATCTGTGTTTGAACATTTGAGTCCCACAGAATCCTACTAAAGTTAAAGGTAACCCTAGCCACATGAATGACTTAGAATTATGACTTTTATATTTTTTGAAACAGTAAAATTTTCTCCTTGTATACTGTCTTACAAATATTTCCTATTTGATTAAGATAATAAGTACTTTCAGTTACTCAATCTGAATATGTTATCTTTTCTCCACATGATAAATTTGGCAAGTCAATCTGCCATGAGCAGAAATGACCTTTTCCTGTCTTTATACAATACACAGAACTATTTGTCTTGTCCTACATAGTCAGGTATCACAGATCAATGTATGAATTTTCCAAATTTCTCCCACTTTTTCGAGAGCTGGCTAAATTAAAGAATACAGACTATCTGTATCATTCTTCTAATAAGGCACAAGAGCCCATTTTCTCATAATTTGCTTTAACACAGAAACAAGGATGACTTCCCCCTGCCCTCTTTTATCTTGTGCTTATATACACATAATAAAAAAATTATCCCATAATATGCACTGTGCTACAGAAAACATCTGTATCTCTCATGATTTTGTGGTTCTTTCTAGCTGTTTTTGTTTGTGAACTGTCATCAAGAACACGACAGTGCCAAGGGGCAACACTGACAAGTTATTGCTCGTGCCTATACACACTTTGATCATTCTATTTTATGAATTATTACTGGTTAACGTTTGTGTCTTCAGTTTCAATTTAACTCAAAAAGTAACTGCATTACAGTGCTTAAAGGTCTCTCCTCCTGCAGCAAATACCACGGGGAGTGGTGGGGTAGTGGATAAGCAGTTCCAGATTACCTAAGGACATATTTAGCTAAAAAAACATGAGTGGATAATCTATCCCACTGGCGTCCTAAGTTCCATATGGAGTCTAGGAAGATCCTAACATATAAATAACATGCTGTGAGAAAGTGTTATACATCTCTATAGGAACTATACTTAGTTTACAAAGTCCTATAACACTCTCTTCAGCTTCTGCTATATCCCCTACAGCATCTACTCTGTCATGTAACTCCTGGAATACTGCTCACCAACAATATCAAGCTGCTCTGCTGCATCCTCCTCCCTTTTCCTTTTCTTCTGCTTGTGCTTCTTCTTGCTGCAAGGAGAGATGCAAAGCAATGAGAACGCGCCCCCGACCTGGCCCTTTCACCCGCCTCTCTCACGGCCTGCCGCCCAGGCCCTGACCGCAGCCGGGAGCCCAGGGCCCGACCCCCTGTGCCAGCCGGGAGCCCAGGGCCCGACCCCCTGTGCCGGCCGGGAGCCCCGCGGTTCCCGCGGCCGGGGAAGGGAAGGGGCGTGCGGGGCAGCACCGCGGGGAGCCCCGGGCTCCCTGCCCCGCGCTGCGGCAGCCGCTGGTCCCGGGGCAGGGGCGGCACAACAAGCAACCCCCCACTCACCTCTTCTCTTTCGAGCCTTTGAGGACGAGCTTGGTGGATTTCACGCAGGAATACTCCGCCATGTCGGGGCACGGGAAGTGCCGGCGGGCAGCGCCGGCCCCGCCCGCGCCCGGGCGGAAGCTCCGAGGCCTCAGCGCTTGTTCCGCCCGGCCGTGGGCGCCGGCCGGCGGTGCTGCTGTGGCTTCCGAGGGCGTTCGGGGTGCGGGCACGGAATTTGGGGGGTGGGGGGGCTAGTGGTAATAAAATAAGAATTTAAAATTACGTTTAAGAGCCTCTCCCTCAGCACTTTCCCCTTCTAAGTCTGGCTCGGCTCCGTGAGTTGCTGCAGCGCTTTGCAGCACTGCAGGCGAAGAGCGACAAGGAACGGGGAGCCCAGAGCTTCCTATGCAACCTGTGCGTGTGTGTATTATAAAGCACTGCAATGGGCACCGGCAGGGCACTGGGATGGAATCCCTCTGCCCCGGGCACCAGGCCTTGCCTCAGGCAGTGCCTGGCAGTGCTGGTGCGGGAGGAAAAGCTTCAAGGGAAGCACATGAAGACAAGCTGGGGAAATTAAGCTTGTAGGTCCCAAAAGTGCACCAAGCTAGGGACAAAATGAGGTTTAAGACAATTTTGTCCCCATCCCGCTAGCCATTTGCTATTCCACAGAATAAAATTACCTCAGGCTTTCCCCTGGGGGTATAATCACAGAAACATTTTTCTGACATGCTTAAATTGCCAATAATCCTTCTTTGGGGAACAGCCTTGCTAGCACAGATGTGATTAAAATCCCAGTTACAGCAGTAGTTCGTGTTCAGTCCTCTGTTGTTTCTACTTCACACTAGCGAAGTGGGGTTTGTGCCCAAAAGGCTGTCTACTGACTACCATAGCTGATCAAATCTTGTCCTACAGGTACACATACAGAGAAGCTTGCATTGGATTGCTTCCTTCTATTTTCTTGAGTTCATTTCCTATTTACACTTGCAAGTTCTCAGTACCTCAAATGTATATACTACAAGTAAGAAATGAGAGTCTTATACATGGCTATGCCAAGGCTTTCAAAATCACGGCAAGCGTGGCCTGGTGATAAAGCTTGGCATGTATGAAGTCCCAATGAAACTGACCCTGCAGTTGGTGAATGACTGCAGGTATCTTCCACAGACACTTTAATTGGATCCAATACTCTGTCTATTCTCACCAAAATCCTTTGAATTTCTCTCTACATGCCTAAGATGATGAACGTCATATGTCTGTGAAGCTGGAATGGTTACACCTGCCATATTAAAATGGAAACAACAGTTATGGACTTTCAGGAGTTTTTGGCAATTCCCCCATTCTGGAGCTTTTGGGAGAAGGTTGCTGGGAGTAAGCATTGGGCTTGTCAGCAAAAACATTACCTGAATCAAGCTGCTGGTGCATGTAAATTCAGAATACTTTTTGTGTGTGTGTGTCTCAGGCATGCTACTTCCCTGCTAGTGTCTTCATCTGTTGCAGTTTTTCAGTGGAAGACAGTCATGTCCTTGATCAGTGTTTGGGAAGTGGATAACTTGAAACAGTGTGTTGCTGTGATAGACAGTATGTAACTTGATTGATTTATGGACTTAGCAGTTCCAGGAACATGTGTCTTGCAATTCTTTCTTGGAGTAAAAGCTGAAAAAATAGGTAGAATGAAAGCTGAAGACAATGATGGACAGCTTGCTGATCTCTGCATGATACTTGAATGAGGGAAGTACTGTGTTAGCAAAGTCTTGCATCAAATCAGGTTGTGAAGGTCCTACACATATTTAGGTCTATGTGAAGGACCAGAGAAGATCCAGATTTCCAATACAGGATTGAATATCTACCTGGTCTATTAGCAATCTATCCTTTCATTTCAAACTCACCCTCAAGTACATTCTGTTTTCTGTTCTCACCTTTCTGGAGATTATTGCCTGACTTCTTGAAAACTTTTGGATACTGTCTTAGAATTTTATAACCAGTAACAGAATGGTTGTTGCTAAGTTTCTTTCCTTGTTTTTGTTGGTAGATACAATGGCTTGTTCACTGATGAAACATTTTATAACCATAGAATGGTTTGGGTTGGAAGGGAGCTTAAAGATCATCTAGTTCCAACCCACCTACCATGGGCAGGGACTCCTTTCATTGGACCAGGTTGCTCAAAGCCCCATTCAACCTGAGCTTGAACACTTCCAGAGCATCCACAACTTTTCTTGGTAACCTGTTCCAGTGTCCTGCCATCCTCACAGTAAAGAATTCCTTCCTAATATCTAATGTAAACCTACTCTCTCTCAGTTTAAAGCTATTACCCCTTATTCTATCACTACATGGCCCTATCCATGTCCCTTGTAAAAAGTCCCTATCCCTCTTGTAAGCTCCCTTTAGGTACTGGAAGTTGCTCTAAGATCTCCCTGTAGCCAACTCTCTCAGTTTTTCCTCATAGGAGAGGTGCTCCTGCCCTCTGATTGTCTTCATGGTTCTCTTGTGGACTTGCTCCAACAGGGGCATGTCCTTCTTATAATGAGGGCCCTGGAGCTGGACACAGGACTCCTGCAGGGTCTCATGAGAGCAGAATGAGAGGAGGACAGTCACCCTCTGTGACTTGGGCTGTGTGGCTGGAGCACTTGCTGGTGAAGACCAAGGCAAAAAAAGTTGTTGAATACCTCAGTCTTCTCCATATTTCGGGTAACCATGTCTTCCATTTCCTTCTGGAGAGGGCCCTCATTTTCCCTAGTCTTTGTTTTACCACTGATGCATCTATAGAAGCTTTTCTTGATGCCCTTGACATCACTGGCCAGATTTCATTCTATCAGGGGTTTATATTTCCTGGCCTGATCCCTGACTACTCAGTCAATTTCTCTGTGTTTCTCTCAGGCTACCTGTCACTTCTTCTACCTTCTGTAGGCTTCTTCTTTGTGTTTGAGTTTGTCCAGGAGCTCTTTGTTCATGCATGCAGGCCTCCTGTCATTTTTGCCCAGCTTCCTCTTTGTTGGAATGCATCACTCCTGAGCTTAGAGGAGGCGATCCTTGAATATTAATCAGCTTTCTTGGGTGCTTCTTCCCTGCAGGGATTTATCTCATGGCACTCTACAAAGCAGATCTCTGAGGAGGTGAAAATCCTCTCTCCTGAAGTCCTGGGATATGCACCCTCCTGGCTGCCCGGAGGAACTTGAACTCATGGTCACTGCAGCTAAAGCTGCCCTTGAGCTTCACATTTCTTACCAGCTCCTCCTTGTTGGTGAGAACAAGGTCCAAGCTCAGCACGTCCCCTTGTTGGCTCCTGTGTCACTTGGAGGAGGCAGTTATCCTTTTAGCCAGTATATTCGTATGTCTCTTCAAACTAACCTCAACACCGAGCAATTTTAGCAAATATGATTGGATTTGACTCTTATCACTAAATACCTTTTTACTGGTTCTAAACAGATATACCTATCAGGCAAATATTTTATTAAAGGGAATAACAAAAAGGAGAGAGCAATTACATCAAAATTAGAAAAAAGCACAGAGGAGATGAGTGAAGCAAAAAGAATGTCTGTCAGTATGCTGATCACTTAGCAACCCTAGCATGCTAACTTGACATTCACTGCTTATTTTGTAGTTTATTTTGAATTCTTTTTAGGCTTTGATTCTGTGGAGAGCAAACCTGCAGGAGTTCTTTGTTGTTTTCTTAACTGTAGTGTAACTTTACAACTTTATTTATGATTATTAATTTTTGGCTGCTCAACTGTGCAACCTTAGTATTTGTGGAGTATTTGTACACTTTTGTGAAAGTGGGCCAGTGTCCACTGATACACCCATGACCAGCACTTCATAGTACACAGGTGCTTGCTTGAGAGGTCATATGAGAGAGGAAAAGGTAAGAATATAAAGCATTTATAAGATGTAATACCTTAAAAGTTATTAGGAATTATCTAAGTTTGATATTTAGGTTTTTATTGTTAACTTTAAAAAAAACCAATAACAATTAAAGCTATTTAACGTTTATTGTATGATGGAACTGCATTTTGCTTTTTGTCCACCAGATGGTGCTATAGCTCAAAAAATAAAAGCAGAGTAAGAAATCTGAAAAAAATAAGAAGTAATTTTTATTTTCATTTCAAGTGACCCTTACATATTGTGATGCTGCAAAGAATTACACACCTGCTTATATTTTGTGTAGGGAATAGTCCCAGTGAGTTCAATTAAGCAGCTCATTCTGTGTAAAGTCAATTGTGGTTGTGAGCTTTCTTAGGATGGGGGTATATCAATTATGTTTGCTATTTTCTTAATTTGCTGTTTCTCCAACTATGAAGAGAAAGAAGTAAAGACAGAAGGATAGAGAAAATACATTTCTTATTTTGATAGAAATAAGGGATATTTTTCAATCTTTCATAATGTAAAATATATTTTCTTGTTGATGAGTATAATTTAATTTAAAATTCATGTAGTTTAGGTTTCTTCTTAAATTTAGTGATTACAGCAAGAAACAGGCAGCAGTAAAGTATATGCAGACTGTTGTAAGACCTTTTCCTGCGTGGCAAAGCGAAGGCATCAATCAGAAAACTGTATCTAAAATGATACCACTTTAGAAAACTATTTAAACTCTAATTTGCTAGTCAGTATTTTTGAAATTAAAACATTTCCAATATGTCCTGCCTATGATTGCTTAAAAAAAATATAACAGTTGTTTTTCTTTATGGCAACGGAAATAAATGGAGCCTTTGTGTTTGCAATTGTAGAAAACAAATCACTTTTTTAATGACTAGATTTTCCTGCCAGCTTGGAATTTGTCGCATGTGCATTTTATTTTGAATGCCTAAAGAGTGAAATCATTTGCCATCTCTCATGCAGATGGGGCAGATTGGCTGAGGTGTCATTTGCAAAATGTGCACTTTCATCATTCAAGTTTGAAGGGGATCATTACAAGCAATATTTTCCATAGACACTCAGGATTGATGGAAGTGGAGGGTTGAGACTGAGCGTCCACGGATATAGTCTAGTGTCATAAAAGCCTGGACCAAAACTGTGGTGCTTTGGAGTTTTCTTTCATCTTGTTTATTTATGCTAGGAAATACTAAAATACCTCCCCAAACCAGAGAAACTTGAATTAGCTCTCTTGATAGCCAAGTTAGCAGATTATGTGCTTTTTTCCCTTCTTTTGTTTATAAGCGTGGGCCCCATGTGAAATATTGAAGC